GGAAGCTGAGCCGTGGAAGAATTGTCAGTTTAATGAAAACTGCTAGAAAATGAAAAACTCGGTGATCTGCAGGTTGTGGGAGAAAGGAGTCGTAGCAGTTGAGGAAATTTGGGATGGGGGGAGGAAGGAGGAGGATCCCTACTAGATGTGGTCATGGGGGAAGGGGTCGTACTGTCACCGCAAGTTTACACATCACGGTGCTGCATCCTGAGTGCACCACATTATAGTTTTCAAGACTACGGCCAGGATAATTTGACGCCGAATAAAGCGTACAGGAGACGTGAATACAGAATCACTGGTTGTTTACAGTAACCTTGTACAATTCCAGGTTGTGATGAACACTTTCTCAAACGGCGAATGGGGCAAGGAAGAGCGTAAGTCACTCCCGATCAAGAAGGGAGACTCGTTCGACATTCGAATCCGCGCTCATGATGACCGTTTCCAGGTAAGATTACGCAAGATTTTTATATCCAATTCTATACGTATTTCCACATAAGGCGCAGTTCGGCGACGGGGGGGGGGCATTTTGCTTTCCATCGATGTGTCGACCCATCTAGATAGCCTTTCTTGAGTTGACACGTTTTACCATGGTGGCTAGACGAGCTTGCTCCAGCTTCACAAGTTCACAAGTTTCACCAGAGTGAGACTTGTAAACCGGAAGTAGTGAAGCAGTGAAAGTGCAAAACGCCCCTCGTCGCCAGACTGCCCTCCCCCCCTCACTATGTCTGGCAGTGTACACGTTGCGCATGGAACTGGGAGGGACTAGGTGGTTTAACTAACGGCAGCCTCAAAAAGGACTGAATATTTCAACTGATTCTCGGTTGCCGGCGGTTAGCCGACTGGCTGTGGTTTAGCTACACTGGGCAACCAGCTGCCATTCGTTGTCGCATGAAGAGCCGTAATTTCACTTCATCACCACGAAAATCTTTCCTACAATTGGATTTTGAAGCAATAAGGAGGCAACGGTAGATGCCGGTCCACGCGGCATCTACTGCTATTATGCTTCGTTACATCTGTTCGTCTGCGCCCTCTAACCGTTACTGTTTCGCTGAGAGGGCGCGGACAAACAGACATGACATGGCGAAGTGATGCTGACGTGTGTTTAGCATTCCTCCCCCCCCCCCTCGCCCAATTGCCTTCGCCCCATTTTAGTGCGTTCACAAGAACGATTCGTGGCCGATTGAGCATTTTTCTTTTTGCTTTCATTCGTGGCCGATTGAGCATTTCTCTTTTTGCTTTCAGATTGTCATTGACCAGAAGGAGTTCAAGGATTACGAGCATCGCCTTCCACTCACCACGCGCAGCATCACTCATCCTTATCGATGCGATGTGATCTTTACCTGAACCACGTTCACTGGGGAGGAAGTATTATGTGAGTTCGCTGTTTTTTTTTCTAGGGCCGCGTGGCCTTCGGTGTCTTCGTGAAGACGGGGGAAATCTTCCCGGGGACTGAGAAGACTGTAGTAGTGTGTCGCGTTGCCGCGCGCGGCGTGTACTGCGGCGAAGCGCACTATTCAGTCGTTTGGAACAGTGAAACTCGCGTGAATTCTCCATGAAGAGCGTTATCAAGGTTTCCTTCATTAAGCATTCAAAATCCAAACTGCGCCAAGGTCAGCACCAACCGTCCACTGGTAATGTGCCGCCGTCGCGCTGCGCCACGCCCCGTTGCCGGCCGACCGGCACATTACGATTGTCTTGTCACACACTGAAACTTTCTGACAGTAAGAGCTACCTTCAGTGGGTCTGCCAACTTCATTACGGTGACTTACATAATTGAAGGCGTCTATTTAGCAGCGCTGAGTAATGTTGTCAATAAAAAGTTATCTGACTATTGTAGCGATCCTAGCAAACCAAGAAATTCTGCGAAACCATGACTAATGACATTTAGCTTGCTAATGATTCATGCTTTAGTCGTCTGAAATGAGAGACTGTTCGCTGTACATTTCAATGAGGCGGTTTCCGAACTTGGCTAGCTAGCGCTTAGCACCACGTGCCCTTTACAGTAGCATGGCTGGGCGCTAATAACTTGGGGGAAAGGGGGTGGGGGAGGATCACCTTTAAGCGATTGTCGGCATACCAAATCCTGTGAATTGCATGCATGTTAATACAAGTACAGCCTTGTCAATACCCTGTAAGCCTTGTTATCACCTGCCAAACCCTTCAAATCCTGTCAAACTTGTCAAGATGACTGGTCAAGGTGGAGAAATGACGAGTGCCATTTTGCTAAACTTGCCAGGAATATACAGGCAACAGGGTACTTGACAGGAATTTACAGGCATTGCAGGGTGAGACACGATTAAGAGAAGACCAAGACACACACTGAAAAAGCGTACAGGTGCCATCACCTCCCCCCCCCTCCCCCAATGATTATTAGCGCCATACCACGACATGCGTTTAAGAATTTGAGGTACTAGAGCCAGTGAGCTGCGGGTGGGAGCAGCCCAGTGGCGTTATGGATAGCGCACTCGCCGGGGTCAGCGGGAGACGCGAGTTCGAATCTCGCCTGGGGTCTAAATTTTGCTCTCAAGTCACCCAGCTTGCATTTGTTAACATGCGTTTGAGTTCTAGTTGAACAATAGACATTTAGTTCTTGTCTCAGACAGGAAGAGGCAGACCTATGGTGCAACTTATCTAGTATGTCATGTGATAT